AAGTTGACAAATTTTACACTTTCCAAATTTGCTGCGTGCTTTCTCCTCTCCGGATGCAAATTGCTCCGGAGTGCCCATTGGGAGATCATGCCTTTTTCAAATTTCATACTAATCAAATTTGCGATCGTCTGACACTAGTTTGTTCAAGTTTAACAGAGATATTTTCATCCGAAGAGGAGAAAATGCGCAGTAAATTAGTGTAAAATTTGTCAACTTTAAAGCGCGCTTTCTCCTCATCGGATGCAAATATCTCTGCTAAATATGCTCATTTGGAGGTTGTGCCTTTCGCAAATTCCATGCTAATTAAATTTGTGATCGATTCCCACTGGTTTGCTCAAAATCGGCGAGCATACGCTGGGAGACCTCCCTTGTACGTAGGAAACTACCCTTCCCAACAAAATAATCTCATGAATTGGGTTATTGTGAAGGAAGAAATATTAGCCGAGGACACGATCACACATATCCATCCATCCCTCCATTCAAGATTTATTGCACGAGTTTATTTCATTTTCAAGTGGCAACTGTTGACTGCATCCGCATTTTCTTTAAATTTCTTTCTCTCTTCATACAAGGCTCACTCAATTCTTATCTCTCCTCTGTCCCCCATACAGAGAAGAATTTGGGGACAAAAGTGAAGAGCGTGTGACTGACTATTGCTCTACACCAGGGTTTCTGTTACAATATTATTTTTATGCTTGCATGGTGCATAAAAATCCATAAAGATCCATAAAATTGTAGAACATGTAGGGAAATCATTTCATATTTTGAAGAAACTTCATATTTTCATGGGGGCAAGATTCAATTCTCTAAATTTGTAGTTCTTTTAGGGAGCGTCCATAAATCACGTGATCGATTAGAGGGGGGGAGGGGTCTGAAATTTATCACCAATTATCACAGGGGGGGGGGTAGATGGTCAGATGTCACGTGACATGAGTAAAGTTTTGTTTAACTTTGTATATGCCAATAAATGTCATCAGAGTTATATATAAACTCTCTTGGCATACCACACGCACGTTATATAGATTTGATTTTCATTTTGCACATTTAGAAACTTGCTTCGACTTAAAATTCTTGTCTGACTGGCGTTTTAAAGATGGAGTTATTTACACATGTGTGTAGCTTTAATTTGATTGATGATTTAAAAAACACTGGACTAATATTGCTACACTCTTAGCAATCTGTACTTGATTCCGTGTAAAAAAACACCTTTATTCGGGGTAAAAATCAAGCATCCATACTGTATAAAGTTGCATAGACAATTTTGGAGGAGGGTAACCAGTTTTACTTTTTTTCGAGTACATTCCCCTGCTAGGGAATGCCCAAAATTAAATCATGTTGTCCGGAATATATTCCGGACATGATTTAATTTGAGTCATCATCTCCTGTCACGTGACCGGTGGGGGGGCGGGGTAGCGAAATTATCACCAAATGTCACTAGGGGGGGGGAGGGGGTCAAAATTGTCCAAAAATCGATCACGTGATTTATGGACGCCCCCTTATGCGTTTATCGTGCATAAAGCATAAAAACGCGTAAAATGCACAAAAATCTATAAAAACGCAAATCATGCAATTCATGTATGAAATTTCATATTTTGAAGAAATTTTATATTTTCCTACCCTGTCAAATTGGGACAAGATTATCTCAATTTCTAGTTATAATTCCACCAGGGTCACTTTCATTAATTTTTCATATTAAAAACCTACTCCAAGCAACTTTGCGGGGGCCTTTTAAGATGGCATTAATACCATCTTGGTGGTTAATGACAACACATTTGGGTGGAAAAGACCCCCACCGGCCAACCACTTTGCCGATCATGCCCATCTTCGAACTCATCCTTGCCTTTGATCCGAAGATCAAGTGTACAAAATTTCAAGTCGATAAAATGTGTTTAAAGAGAGTTATCATGCGTACAGACAGACGGACGGACAGACAGACATCCTGACAAATCTATAAGGCCATCTTAAAAGGCCTAAAACTGAAAAAAAACTGTTTGACACTAAAATACTAAAATGATGAGGAAAATACCATAAAATAGCACAACAACGATTTCTTACTATAGTTAATCAAATATTTAGAAAAATTACAATATTACAATATTATTTACTCTTATATGAATAATTTTTTATGCATTCTCGTGCATTTTCATGTACTTTTCCAGATTTTTGGTTGGTTTTTATTAAACGTACCATAAAATGGCCCCATGATTTCTTAATCAAATTTTCATGATCAAATATTTAGAAAAATTACAATATTATTTACACTTAAATGTTTGTTATGCATTTTCCCAATTTTTGGTGTGCGTTATTAAACTTGTAAAAACATTTTCTGTTCAATAATTTCATGCATGCGTTTTTTTACAAGGAGAAACCCTGCTGTACACGCGAACGAAGAAAGCAGCAGCAAATAATAATGGGGAAAGCATCCAAGGCAAAAACCGCAGCAGCAGCGAAGAACGTGACAAAGCCGGCTTCTGAAAAGAAAGAGAATCCAGAAAGTGATTCCATTTCAATTTCAAAGGACGACTCGAACAAGAACAACTTCAAATGTGGTGTTCACGATTGTCCCGTCCCCGCCGTGTCGAGATGCGGCGGCTGCCAGAAAGTCGGCTATTGTTCGAAAGAGCATCAAAAGTTGCACTGGAAGGATCACAAGGGGACTGTTGTGGGTGGAAGGTGTCGGAAAATAAGCGGCTGGGTCGATTCCTCATCGCCGTGAGGGATGTCAAGCCGGGAGAAATTATTATGCAAGAAAAACCTCTGATTATCACCCCTCCGAAAATCACCCTTCCGGTCTGTCTCGGTTGTTACAGTGAATTCAAGCCGGATGGAGTGGTGACGGATGGTATGCAATTTTAGGAAGAGTAAATATATTAGAAAATATGTATTCGTTGGCAGTGGCCGCAGAAGCTGTGGGGACATATGGGGACGGTAAAATTGTGGGGTGGGGCAGGGCGGGGTTTATATAAGATAGGCAGATGATGCGGACATTAAATACCCGGGAAGAACATTGTCCCTCTTCCCCTCACGCTTCCGCGGCCACTGTATTGTTGGATATTGCATGTGCATCTGTTACATACAAAATGCAACACTATGTGAAGCATGAAGAATTGCCCAATTTGCTTAATCTCACGATCGCACAAGTATGTATGTAAGGTCCAGAGAGCTGATATGTATTTAGGAAAAAAAGATGAAATATGGATTTAATATTTACGAAAAAATTCCAAAATATTTACGAAATATGTTTGTACCAAAAAATAAGAATTTTCTCAAAACTTGTAATTTTGAAGTGGATTTTTTGTGGTACAATTTTTTTTAACAGAAAAATTTCGTCTCACACCCTAGAAAAATTTGAAAAATGTGTATATGTATTTTTAGGCCTTTTAAGATGGCCTTATAGATTTGTCAAGATGTCTGTCTGTCCGTCCGTCTATCCGTCTGTAGGCACGATAACTCTCTTTAAACAAAAGCTATTGACCTGAAATTTTGCATACTTCATCTTTGGGCAAATTGTAAGGTTGAGTTCGGAGATGGGCATGATCGGTCAAGTGGTTGGTCGGTGGGGGTCGTTTAGGTGGATCGGGTGGACCGTAACAAAATTTAAATGCCATAGAAACGTTTCAAATTTGTCGTGGGAGGCTGAAATTTAGCACGAAGTTAATAATATATCACATATTTGATATTAGGAGTTCGACTTTCAGTTATCAATGCCATCTTAAAAGGCCCCGCAAAGTTGCTTGGAGTAGGTTTTTTAATATTTAAATGATCTACGCATTTTTCAAAGCATAGTTATAAATATTTATATGTATATATGCAAACCTAGAAATGTGTGACAATATGTAAAAAAAATATTTTGAAGTTTTTTGGATAGTTTAGGGGAAAAAATGCTTAAATACATATCCGCCCTCTGTTCATCTCTCAATTTCAGACGGTAAAGGCGTCAAACCGCACGCTTGCCAGAATGGATGCGGCTTTCCCATGTGCAAATCTCCACTTTGTTGCAACTCCCAGGATCATAAGGCCGAGTGCGCCTTGGCCAAATCGAGGGGAAAGGTTACGATTAAATATGCCGACGGTGAACATCCGCTCTATCAACTGATCGGAATCTTGCGAGCGCTCGGACTCAAAGATAAGAATCCTGACGTCTTCGAGAAACTGGTGAATCTCGAAGCAAATGTGGAAAAACGGGAGGAATTCGTTAAAGCCATGGAGGCCGAGGAAGGTGGTGGCGGGGGACCTGGTGGCAGTTCCACGAGTAACAGCACCGAACTCAAGCCGGCAGCAGGTGTGAAGCTAATTCATGATTTCTTCCAAAGAACGGACGTAACGGAGGAATGGATTGTCAAACTTATCGGAATAATTGAGACGAACGGGCACGAAATTCCCATCCCGGATCTCGATGGGCATATCAACAGGCGAGTTATTGGTATGAAACGAGAGACAAAATTAAGTTTACTACTTTCACTTGTGACCAGTGGCCGCGGAAGCTGTGGGGACATGTGGGGACATTAATATTGTATGTATTTAGGATAGGGGAGGGGGAGGGAGGGGTTTGTATAAGATGGGGAGATGATGGGGACATCAAAGAACCGTGGGAATATTGACCCTCTGCTTCCGCGGCCACTGCTTTCACTCATGACAAAGGGAAAGTTGCCCCATAAAAGCAGTTTACGTAAAATTATGGATTTGCATATGTAGGTGTGTACCATAACTCTTCCTATCTGGAGCATAATTGTCGTCCAAACTGTGTCAAAACGTGGGATTTGAGCACTAAAGAAATTGTGATTCGAGCCAGTACACCCATCAAGAAGGGAGATCATCTTTCAATCAGCTATGTAATAAACTCACGTGGGATTCATCACCAAAATCGTGAAAATCAGCATATTTTTAATCGTTTCTAGACTCTGAGAATTTATTTTAAAATTCTGAACGACAAATTTGTAGGACAGGTCGTTGTCAATCTATTAAAAATTTGCACTCCAGATTTTGACCATTTTTGAAGGAGGAGATCTCAAGTTTAAGAAGCCGCCTTAAGAAAAACTGGAATTCATCAAAGCTGGTTAAAAACTGGCAACTCCCTGCTTTACGAATTTTAATATAAATTCCCAGAGCGAAGAAATGATTAAAAATGCGCTGATTTTGATAATTTTGGCAATAAGTCATCGAATATCCTAAATTAAGCGTTTTTTAATTAAGGGGAAGTCCATAAATTATGTCACGCAAAAACTCACGAATTTCTAGACCCTCCCCCCATTAACATGCGTCATATAGGCACAATATCCTTGAACCCTCCTCTCACGTGACATAATTCATGACCGGTCCCTTAAATATTTTACAAATTATCCAGGTGGACCCTTTATGGGGCACCGCCGATCGACTATCTCTCCTCCGAATGACGAAATTCTTCACGTGCCACTGTGACCGGTGCAAGGATCCGACCGAGCTCGGATGTCACGTCAGCTCGCTCCGGTGTCAACACTTGAAATGTATGAATATCCCGACCTCCGAAAAACGTGGCCTGGTCGCTCCACTCGATCCCTTCAAACCGGACGGAGATTGGAAATGTTTGACGTGCAAGGAAGACTACAACGTCGCCTATGTCAACTCTCTGATCCAGAAAGCTGGTCAAGAGATGGACCAACTTCACGACAAAATCGGCGACATCGCGGCCAAGGAAGACTTTGTGAAACAATTTTCGAAAACCTTGTCGCCCAATCACTTTTACTTGTTGGAGGTGAAAGTAGAGCTGGCCCAGCTTTACGGACGGACGAGTGAGGAGCCGTTGCATATGATGAGTCCGAAAAATCTCGTGAGGAAGATTAACCTCTGTGAAGAACTTTTGGTCACGCTCAACATAATTTATCCAGGTTTCCAGGAATCTTATTTTAAAAATTGGAAATTTATATATTTACTGATTATCTATTTATCCGCCTGCAGGCTACAATAGGTTGAGAGCTTTGATCATTTATGAACTCCAAGCCGCAGTCTTCATGCTTTCACAACTTCGCCGCAGTTGTGGAGATATTTCATTGGAAACGCATTTGGAAGAGTTGATGGTAAGATTTTTAAAATTTGGGTAAATTTTTGTTTGGGACCTCATTTTCGGAAAGACAATCTATCTCATGTATACTCGAATAAACGACTTTCACTTACAACAATGGAGGTCTCCCAGCGGATGCTCTCCGATTTTGACCAAACTATAGTGTCAATCGATCATCAATGTAATTAGTATGAAATTTGGAAAAGACACGATCTCCCAATGGGCACGTTTCGCAGAGATATTTGCATCCGAAGAGGAGAAAGCGACCACAGTAAATTTGGAAAGTGTAAAATTTTTCGACTTTAGTAAAAACTTCAGCCAAGGATCACCATGTAGAATATTATTCCTCCAGTTCTTTATAGAAAATGGGTAGATTCTCCTACTATCAATAACTTTCCTACACATTACATCAGTGGCGGCGGAAGCAGAGGGAGGACAGGGGACATTGTCCCCCGAGAAATTCAGCAAAATTGTATCTGGCCATTCTTTCCCATGTTAATAAGCCCATTCTCCTCAATAATCCCACAATGCTAATGTCCCCACATGTCCCCCCAACTTCCGCCGCCACTGAATGACATAACACATATTACGTAATAAAAATGCTCATTAGCATTATTACGAATGAAAGTCATTCTAAATACATACGTATCCTACCAAATTCTGCCCACCAATAAAAAAAGGTGGAAACAGAGAGAAAGTAGAGAGATCAACCTTTCAAATGCATAGAAAGAAAGTGCCCTGTGCCAATTTAGCAAACGAGTCTACAAATACAATCAAGACAAAAAAAGGAGGTATGTAAAAGTGCTCACAAGTCAATTACCGACGACGACGACTTTCACTTCACCATTTTCCCTTTATTCACTTCACCCTCGAGGTAGATTGAGAAGGAACATTTATGAATTTTTACGAGCCAATTACAGAAATGATGGTAATGATTATTACACATTTTTTTGTTTCCATTCTCTTTTAGCAATGCGGTAAGTGGATGACTGAAGTGATAAAAGTGCTCGGATGGGAAAGCCAGCATTCGATCGAGCGAAAAAGGGCAGCTGGGGCCGAGAGAGACTTGGACAATTTGAGAAAGGCTGTACTTTCACTGCAGAATTTGCCTGAACCTACGGCTACCTTATCAGTCGATAAGGTAGCTGCTGCTGGATCCAGGAATGAAAATGCAAAACCACCTTCCAGCCCGAAGAAAGGAGGAGAAAAGGAGTTATCATCACTTGATAAGGATCTGGAGAAGGATATTCTCGAAATTGAAAGATCCCATCTCACTGCGGATGATGATTCGTTCATTGAAGAAGTGTTTTAATTGGGAGAGGAGAAAATTACTTAATAATTCGACTTGAATAATGATTAAATTTTCAACTTGTTACTACTTAAATGTAAACTTTTGTCAGAAAATTACATATATAAATAATGGTACATGTAGAGTCAGTAGCCGCGGAAGCCGTGGGGACATCTGGGGACATTTACTTAAATATACTTTTGTCAGTGTATTCTGTAATAAACAATGGTACATACATGTAGTCAGGTCAGTGGCCGCGGAAGGTGTGGGGACATTTTCCTTGTAATATGGGGGAGGGACGGGTTTATATAAGATGAGGAGATGATGCGGACATCGAATAACCGTGGGGACATTGCCCACACCCTTCCGCGGCCACTGCATATATGTAGTTCAAAGACATACGTACCTACAATCTGCATTATACAAAAGATGAAAATAAAAAGACATACTGAAACTGTTCCATGCAAATACGTACATATATTTTATTCTCCTCAACCAAACAATGCATATGCCCGAGAAACATTTCCTTATTCCTTTTTTATTATACTCTTTAACCCACAAAGCTACAAAAAAGTATTCAAAAGAAGAAGCGTCAATCCTTATTATTCAGCTTAAGCAGAGGAGAGAAGGAGGAAAACCATAATGGTGCAAAGTCCGGAGGGGGTTCAGTTCAGTCTATCTCATTTTACTCATCCTTCAAACGAAAAAAAGGCAAAAACAAGTTGGTTGGCTTTACTTTACCATCGTCGTGTTATTAAACTGAGAATGAGACAGAGCCCACTAACAGAATTTACTATATCCCCCTCCTCTCCTATATTATGAAATGGGGAACCAACTCCCCTCTCCCTGGAATTTGTTGAGAGGGGATTTTCACAAAAAGTGTAATAAGAAGATGCATATGCCGACCAGACCAGTTACACAGTGGCCGCGGAAGCGTGGGGACACAGGGAAAATGAAAATGTCCCCACATGTCCCCACGGCTTCCGCGGCCACTGCAGTTACATGGGGGACCACAGCAGTATGGCCATAAAAATGGACCCATGCATCCGAAGAAGGGGAGATGGATGGATGTTTAAGAGGATAAGTTGGTTGGGTTGCGTTGGTTCTTGTGGGGAGACTCCCGTAAAGGAAGAAGATTACTAAAACTTGGTTTTCTCGTATATACACGAGGTTTAAAGGTTGGTTTATAATATTGCATAGGAAACAACGTGTTTGGTGCTTGGTTGCATGCAGTTGGATTGGATATATGTATGAGAAGTGAAGGAAGGGGTCCGTGGGTCCCCCTCTTCTTCATGTATATGAAGTTCCCCTTATTCGGCTCCACCAAAATTCAACCAAACAAACCATCCAACCAATCCAGCCAACAAGGTTGCACACAAATCATCACAAGTCCGACCGAATTCAACATTATTCAAACAATAAGCATTGTTATCGAGTGCATAATAATAAGGCTGCAAAATCGGAGAGGAAATCAAAATTGTGTCAGGTTTTAAAGGTAAGTAAGTCAAATTCTCATACATCTAGGTTTGTAATAAATTATTAAGGTACGCAAAAAAAACACGGCAGAAAAATGCAGTGGTGAAAGCAAACTCGAATTCAGTATGAGTTGCGATTCGCAACTTGCGAATTGAAGGAAACTTGAGACTGGGTATTTCTCAGAATTGTGAAAATATTGCAGTTTCTCAACTGCCCAGTGTAGCTTGGCCGTAGATTTTTAGCTGCCCCAAAACATAAGGGAAGTTCGTAAACTTCATAACGCAGGAATGGGTGGGTGGTCAGGGCCCAATAATATCGTGTCAAAAGGGGGTGGGTGGATTGGATGTCAAAACAAAAAAAATTGCGTTATGAAGTTTGCGAACGTTATCTACACACCAGCTGCATATGCATTTTTTTTTAGAAAATTACTGCTGTACTAATTGTTCTTGGTTTCCTATCTAGAGGTTTTCAAAATCGTCTCTTCATAGCTACATAAATATGGAGAAAGAAACCGTCTTTGAAATTGGATCCAACGATTTGTCCCATGCAAACAACTTTTTCCAAAAGTGTGCAAATCTCTTGTCCAAAAACCAACTCGTAGATTGCACAATAGTTTGTTCCGATGGTCAAGTACAGTCACATAAGGTAATCAAGAGTTTCATGTTTAGCCAGTGGCTGCGGAAGTGTGGGGACAGAGGGACAATGTCCCCACGGTTGTTCGATGTCCCCATCATCCACCCATCTTATATAAACACTCCCCCATCCCACAGTGTTAATGTCCCCAGATGTCCTCCAGCTTCCGCGGCCACTGTGTGCAGCTAAATAGCTTCATAAAATATAATTACTCATTACACATATTTCACAGGTCATTCTCGCCGCATCTTGCAAATACATGCACGAGCTTTTGACCACCACAGTGCTCCCGACGCCATGCAGTCATCCCATGATCTTCATGCGGAGTTGGAAGGTTGCCGACTTACAAACAATTTTGACCTATATGTACACCGGAAGAGCGACCATTCCTTGGAGAAAGGTGGCCACAATTTTGAAAATGTGTGACGAGTTGGAATACAAGCGGATGAGGACGGCGATGAAAGCGATTCCAAAATCAATGCCGGAACTCAATTTATTACCAAATGGTACAAGAGCATCACCAATTTCTGGAAATTTGCATGAAAATACTTCCCCGGGAGAATCATCGCACCCGGAACGTGACGCCGCCCCCACCGAAAAATCAGATTTTGCAGACGATTGTTCAAACTCGAAATCAAACCTGGCATCGTCACGATCCTCAATAGATTCCAATTCAAACAATTTGAAAACGACGACTAGTGCCAATAATTGTGAAGGAAATTTTGGAAAAAATGACCACTTTGAAGACTTGCATGTCAATTACGGGATCAAGTCGTCTCATGGACAAAGTGCATTTAATGGTATCCGTCCAGCAAGAAATAAGCGACACATCGAAATAGATAATTTGGAAGGTCTCGTAAATTTTGCGGGGGCAGCAAAACGCCTAATGCTGACACCCATACGAGCAGGTGACAATAATGACTTTGGGACGTTACCAATCAAACTGGAAGACGAATATGGAAGTGACGAAGATGAAAATGAAGACGAGGACGAGGAAGAATTGATTGGAATTGTAAATCCAGGAGATTTGTTGGAAGCTAGTCAGGTAAATTTTTGTTATATGATAATATTACGAGATGAAGTATGAGATGAAGTACAGAGGATTTATTAAGATCATATTTTTGTTCTGGTAGGATTTCAAAGAGGATATCGATGAAGAAGCTCAATCTGACTGTCCATGGTGTAACGAAACCTTCAACAATGTTGCCCTGCTTCAAAAACATTTAAAAACTCATGTCAATAAGTATCGTCCGTACTCGTGTGAATATTGTCAGGTGAGTATGACATCCTTCTTAATAAATATATGTCATTTACTTAACTGACACATATTTACTAGTTATCTAACCTAAATTAATTTTAGATGTCATTTTATCTTAACTTAATTTAACTCAAATAACTCCCCCTACTTTCAGAACTCGTTCGCCCGATCGGCCCATTTGAAGCGTCACTTACGCGTACACACCGGGGAAAAGCCTTACGTTTGCCCAATCCCTGCTTGTCAGCGAGCCTTTGCTCGTCAAGATAAGCTTAAAGGCCACATGGAACGGCATTTTCAACAGGCTAATCGAACCGCAGAGAGTCTTCTATCCCCTCCCCCAAGCACTACAACGGCCAATGACGCCATGACCATAACAAGTTTCTCTCAAGTCAAAAGTAATCAAATAATTCCTGTAAAAGTACAACAAAACGGGGGAAAACCAGTTGGAAGAGGATTAAAATCGGCTTCAAAACAATCCTTGGACTCTTTATTACTGGGAAATTCGTCTCTTCAAACGAATGGAAATAGATTCGAGATCGGAACCACGACCAGCAATGGGCTCTCAATTTCATTAGCGTCTTCCAACACGGGGGCGGAAAATAGGGAAAAATTGACATCCTCCAACGGACTCACGGTCACACCTGCACCACGCCCTTCGTCTTCGTATATTCAGTCCCTAATTTCTCGAGGAGCTGGAGCAACCATGTTCACAACGGGAGGAGATGACTCGTCGATAATTAAGAGAGAATTGATACATTCCAAACCCATGAATTATGTGGTTAACTATAATGGTTAAAGATAATAGGGATATGTACATCAATCAATTATAACTGTTATGTAATGTCAGTACAATATTAGTTTATTTTTACACCGGGTTTTTGAAAGTAACGAAAATTCTATTCATCACTTGTATGTAAGGTAAAAACCTACTCCAAGCAACTTTGCGGGGCCTTTTAAGACGGCATTATTACATAAAAGCCAGACTCTAATGAACGATTGGCATATAATTTTTAGCCCGGACTAGGGCTTATGTAATCGACCTGTCCGTCTGTCTGTCTTTCCATAACTCTCGAAGGAGTAGGCTGAATTTTACCAAATTTGATACAGACATGCATCTGGGCATCGACCGAGTTCGAAGATGGGTTAGTGTTTCTCACGGGTCGGGTTCTTGCAAATCCGAAACCCGAACCCGAACCCGATGCCACTGATCCGAAACTTGAGGGCAACCCGAACCCGAAGAACCCGAAACCCGTTTGCAACGATCCGAACCCGAACTGGCGGATCAAATCCGAAACCCGAACCCGAAAAACCCGAATATATTTTAACTTTAAGGGGTGACTGGCTTTTTAGCTAAAAATTCTTTGGAAGGTTTCAAACAAACAATACTTCTGTAAATATGACCGAGGAATTATAATTAAGCACATTTCTGCATAAGTACATAACTCTTAATTCCTTGACCATAATAATGCAATCTCAAAAAATCGACCATGAATAATGGCTTTCCGTGACATTCAGAAATTTTTAAATCAGTTGAAAGACACTTGTGAAAAGAAGTTACGACAATTAAAAATTTGAATTATTTAATGAATTACTGCAGCATAACCGTCGTAGCAAGTTTGGTTAACACTTTATTTTCTTTTTTAATGTTTTCGTGTTCGTTGTGGCAAAAAGTTCTTGTTGGTTCGGGTTTCGGGTTCTTAGTCGGAACCCGAACCCGACCCGAACCCGAAATTTTGGGATCACATTTCTCGGACCCGAACCCGAACCCGAAAGTTTCGGGTTCAAAAATTTCGTATCCGAAGCAGGACCCAAACCCGATCCGAACCCGAAACCCGAAGTAAGAACCCGAACCCGTGAGAAACACTCGATCAAAAAACATTTAGACCAATGAGTGGTACCCTGGACACGACTATCACCTCGAAAGTATCCCTTGTTAGCTAACTTTTAATTTCAAATTCTTTGATGAGAAGCCACTAATTGTAAGTATTACCGTGCCGGATTTCATGTTTTTAACGCAATTTCTAAAAATAGATATGGATAACCGCATCAGATATAAATTTTACCAATTTCATTTCATATTGTTCCATTAAGACCCATTTGCAACCTCTCTCCCAAATTTCACTTCGATATGACGATTTTGAAAAATCAGTATGGGTCACCCCATAGGGTCCATCAAGATTAAAATTTTTCCAACCTAAATTCATTTTTGTCTGTTACAATCCACTAGCAACCTTTGTTCCAAATTTCAACTACCTACTACAAATTTTAGAAATCCGTCGGGTCACCCTATCGGGTCTCCCAGGTTTAAAATTTCTGAAACTCCACTCCAATTTAAACGCTTTGAGGTCAGTCGCAATCTTCATACTAAAATTACTTAAAATTATTACTATAGATATTTCTCAAGCTACAAATATTTTACTTACACTTAAATAATTTAACCTGCTCTAAAGGTTCTTGGTAGTTAAGGGCAACGCATTTGGATGGAAATGACCCCCACCGGCCAATTACTTGACCGATCATGCCCACCTCCGAACTCATCCTTACTTTTGACCCGAAGATGAAGTGTGCAAAATTTCAAGTCGATAGCTTTTGTTTAAAGAGAGTTATCGTGCGCACAGACGGACGCACAGACGGACGGACAGACAGACATCTTGGTAAATCTATAAGGCCATCTTAAAAGGCCTAAAAACAAAATAAAGATACTCAGATTCTAAATAATGACTAAATGTTTCTTATTGCATTTTTAACAAAATTTTAGATGCGGTATTAACAAACTTTCGAAATTGTTAATAATTAATTTGACGATACTTTTAGTTATCTAGCTCCGTCGTTACTTACTACCTCGTACTTTGATCCATTTCAGCCTGCATTTTCGCGATCAATTCCGACTGTTGTTTCTGCCTCATTTCTTTGATAAAATCTTGCAATTCTTGCCTGCATGTGAGATCGTCGGGTGGATAAAGTTCCCGTTTCATCTTTATCACCCAGTCTTCAAAGTATTGGGCTTGATTGTAAAAGTAAAACATTCCAACGGGGAAGGACACGAATAAGCCGAGCTTGAAAACTTCTAATTGCCAGTTACCCATGTTCAGATAAGTAAGACGACTTTTCCTGATTTGGCCTGCATAAATCAAGTAAAAATTAATTTAAAATGCACATCACAAGTTCCCGAGTTTTGTAACTATACTTCTAACTGCAAACTGTCACCTTATCATCTTTCTTATAAGATGATAAGTTCACAGGTAAGAGGATGATCTTACCTGTGTCAGAAAATCTTGATTTACAAATTTTAATTTCCAAGTTTTTTTATTTTTCTTTCTCTCGTGCGAATTTCAACTTGAAATTTTCAACTTGAAATTTTCAAGTCTTCTTTCCCCACCAAAAAGTGGGAGCCAAACGCTGTGGCGGTTAAGAAACGGACACTCTTGTTTTGTGTTGTGGTTTTTGGTCGGCGAAATATTAATGTTAATTGCATTTCGTAATTTTTCGTTAATTGATAACCCACTATAATTAGTGCGGCTATTATACATTTGTGGATACTGATAACAACCACGCCATAAATCACCATCTTCAACGTAAAAGTAGGTTTGTCGTACGGATTATTTGTTTCTTTGCAATTTTATTTATTTTTTAAATTAGTATTTCATTTAATTTTTACTTTATTTCATTTCTAGGATGGCTGCTTCTACGGAAAGTACGGAAATACCGGGTGTGACTGTGCCGTTAGAGAAGGTTCAAGAATTTTTATCCTGGCGAAGAAAAATTGAGCCGCTGATTCTACTTTTGGATAAGACTCCCTCATCGGAATTAGAAACTATGATTTGTTGCACGGAAAATAAATTAGAGAGCGATAGTAAGTTTTTAATGGATGTTAAACTTGCGGAGAAATGTCAGGTATTAGCCAAACTATTAATATTATTATTATTAATTCATGATTGTATGATATTCATTTTTCATCTTACTTAATTCTAGAACTTATATGACGAGCTTTTAGTTAAAGTTAATGAAAAAGAGAAGGAAAGTGACGAATTGTGGGAGGATTTACAAGTTATGTTTAAGCGTCTTAAGGATAAGAAAGAATTTCAGTTGGGATTTACTTCTGCTGACTCTGGTGTCATAAAATCGGTATAATTATTTGGTTAGTCTATTGTAACTTTTTATGGTATTAATGTATGCCCAATTTGTTTGGTTTCATGTAGATGCAGAATTTCAAGGCTCAATTACTTTTAAGGGAAGATGACATGGCGAAAAGGATCAAAGTTTTTATTGGAGAACTACGCAAAGATATTTCCGACATATGGGAACAGTGCATGATAACGGACGAGGAGAAGGCTGCATTTAAGGAATATCATTCGGATCTTTACACCGAGGAAATGTTGGACATTCACAAACAAGAATTGGCAAAATGGCAAGTTTATCATAAAAAGAATCAAGAAATTTTAACTATGGTAAGTACCTGATTTACAAACCCCTAATCAATATACGATATATATATGAAACAACAAGTTGTTAATTTGGTTATTAAATTTTACGATAAGGTAACGAAGCGTGAAGAGATGTGGGTCAAGTTACGAGAATTGGAGGCCAAAGCTGATGATCCGAACCGTTTCGTGAATCGGTACAGATATCAAGTTTTAATAACAAATTTAATACAAGTCGTCAAAAATTAATTTGTTTAAACACATCATTGCAGAGGCGGAGCTCTTTTGAAGGATCAAAATATGCACAACTCTATAACAAAGAATCTTCCAAAATTAGAGGCTGAATTGATCAAACTAGCCAAGAAATTTGAGCTTGAGCACGACCGAAAAATGAAAATTCATGGAAAGGAAATCCCATCTATGATTGATGAAGAGTGGAAATTATTTAAGGATGAAAAAGCAGCGAAAAAATTGAACCGTCAATTTCTGACCCCTTCTGCTGCAGCACCAACTCGAATTGATTCAGCCTCGTCGTCTGTACCTTTAGTAAGAATGCTAATTACTTAATATACATAAATTACTGGTTGTCATTTACAAAAAAATTGTCTTCTATATCAATATTTTTTCCTATTTTAGCGTGTAACTCGCCTTTCCGTCATGCCGCATCTGCCCCCTCAACCAGGAACCAGTAAGGTGGGTGACAAACGTCCCGGATCACAAATGCCTGGCCAGTCAACCCCACTGTCGAAAAGAAAATTTGTAGCAGCGTCGACGGAATCGCTGAATAATTAAGAATCTACATTCCAAGTTCTCATCATTTCGTAAAGTTTGACAACTTTTATAACTTTTCTACTGTACTATTTTTACTGTACATCATGCCGATTTAGAATTTGAATATTTATTTTTATTATATTTTATGGCTTTGTAAAATTAGTGAAAAATGTTTTTTTCCTCTCTCAGGGACAGATTAATCATTACATATCAATTAATCATTTCATGAAAATATTATTTTGAACACTAGTACAACTCGTACATTCATGCCAAAGGAATAACTTGAATATGTATAACATGACTTTGAAAATTAATTGAATAAAGTCATCATATTCCATTTTTTGCAAAGTTGGTTTACTACTTTCACCACCTTTCACCTTGTACAGAGTTCTTGATTAGATGCATTTTCCACGATAAATGAGTATCTAATTCCATGCTCCACTTTACATATGTAACAAACAAATAACCTTTAATCTTTAAAAGTGCATCCACGTCAGAACTGCGACCCGACCCATGAGTGATATGCGATGATGATAAGGTGATTACTTCAATTATCACCAATTTCATTATATTTGCATATGACATGACAATGCACCGCCACTTACATCATGTAGTATTAAATACACAACTCCACAACTCTACTACTTTTCATGCCATCAAGTCAAGTAGTATTTAACCTCTTACATATCCAGGTAGACGGGCATTGCATAAATATCATAGCATAGTAATTATTATTTTTCTACTATTTTCATCAGACACTTTCAGTGGCCGCGGAAGCGTCCAATGTCCCCACGGTTGTTCGATGTCCCCATCTTATATAAACGTCTCCCTCCCCCATCCTACAATATTAATTAATGTCCCCACACCTTCCGCGGCCACTGGGCACGTTTACCAACCATGATCGCAACATCATCATCCTCAGTTTTATACCTCACTGACTTGCAAATTATCATTGAATATTAATAGCTCAGTCAGCTCTCTGTTAAATAAAAGAGACGACCTCAAGGCAAGAGTTTCATCTCCGCGTCATCATCACCATTTACTACTCATTTATTATTCCTTATTGCACATGGTTTAAAAAAATTAGGAGAATTAACATTCAATAAATAACCATATCATAATGCATCAGACCTGACTTTTCTCTGTCATTCAGTCAATGAAAAGCTCATGAAAAGACAAAAAAAACTTGACAACAGACGACTCTCATGAGACACATATACTACATTTTTTTCTCATAAATACATCAAAATTCAGGTAAAAGTGCTGCATTGCATGGCATGCTGAAAATTTATATACATATAAAAACGTGTCACCACAGTGGCCGCGGAAGGGTCTGGACAATGTCCCCACGGTTATTCGATGTCCCCATCATCTCCCCATCTTATACAAACCCCTCCCTCCCCTATCCTACAATGTCAATGTCCCCACACCCTTCCGCGGTCACTGGTCACTCACCAATGTGTGCTAAATTTTTTGCCGTACATACACCGCATTGCAGTAGTAAAAGTATATTTCTGTACATATAATAGCAAAGCCATGAATTTAATTGCAGACCACCGTTTTTACTGCATACATATGTCCACCTTCATATTTTCTCGTAAGCTTCTACATACACACGCACGGATTACATGGATTACATGACCGCGTGTACATGTCCCACGCCACGATCTATACAAATATGTACAGTACAATTTGAAATTTCATTTCACTCTCTCCCTCCCTTCTGACTAAATAATTGTTGGCCAGCAGCAGAAGATCCAGGCAAAAGATAAAAACTTCCATTAGAATAATATCACACTCTCCAATCCATCCTTTCTTTCATTATTCTCACGAAATGAAGGGGCTGTGTGCCGTGCTTAAAGTATTATTCTTCCTCCCCGTGTTTTGTATTGTTCATTAGCCATGCAAAGCAACAATTTTCGTACATAGAGAATCGGTCGGCTTGCATTTATTTGTTCATCTCCTTGGCGTAGTAGGAGATGAATTAGTTATATTTGTATTAAACGGACGTACGTGAGCTACCTATTCCTGCCCGGTATTAAATTAAATGCTGCTTCGATTGCTCTCCTAATCCTTTAACACTTAGTCAAGCAGGCAGGCAAAATAATTCATGGGGCACGTACATATGGGGATGCAATGGGCGCGGAAGCTGTGAGGGACATGTGGGGACGTGAACATTGTAGGATGGGGGGAGGGACAGGTTTATATAAGACAAGTCTCCTGAGCCCGCAATGCGGGCTCTAAGAAAAACGAGTTTATTATTTTATTACGGAAAACGTTAAGTCACGACTCTAATTGGGTGTGTCCACTAAAAACGTTCAGTTACGACTCTAATTGGGTGTGTCTACGATAAACGTTCAGTCACGACTCTAAAGGGTGTGACCACGAAAAACGTTCAGTCACGACTCTAAAGGGTGTGACCACGGAAAAATCTTCTGTCACGACTCTGAAGGGTCTGACCACGAAAAACGTGCAGTCACGACTCTAATGGGTGTGACCACGAAAAACGTTCAGTTACGACTCTAATTGGGTGTGTCTACGATAAACGTTCAGTCACGACTCTAATGGGTGTGACCACGAAAAACGTTCAGTCACGACTCTAATGGGTGTGACCACGAAAAACGTTCAGTCACAACTGTACAGGGCGTGACCACGGAAAAACGTTCAGTCACGACTCTAAAGGGTGTGACCACGAAAAACGTTCAGTCACGACTCTAAAGGGTGTGACCACGGAAAAATCTTCTGTCACGACTCTGAAGGGTCTGACCACGAAAAACGTGCAGTCACGACTCTAATTGGGTGTGACCACGAAAAACGTTCAGTCACGACTCTAAAGGGTGTGACCACGGAAAAATCTTCTGTCACGACTCTGAAGGGTCTGACCACGAAAAACGTGCAGTCACGACTCTAATGGGTGTGACCACGAAAAACGTTCAGTTACGACTCTAATTGGGTGTGTCTACGATAAACGTTCAGTCACGACTCTAATGGGTGTGACCACGAAAAACGTTCAGTCACGACTCTAATGGGTGTGACCACGAAAAACGTTCAGTCACAACTGTACAGGGCGTGACCACGGAAAAACGTTCAGTCACGACTCTAAAGGGTGTGACCATGAAAAACGCTCAGTCACGACTCTAATGGGTGTGACCACGAAAAACGTTCAGTCACGACTCTAATTGGGTGTGACCACGAAAAACGTGCAGTCACAACTGTTCAGGGCGTGATCACAAAAATCGTTCAGTCACGACTCTAGAAGGTGTACCACGAAAACATTCGGTCACGATTCTAAAGTTCGCCATTGTTTTAACGTTTTAAAAACGTTTAGGCACTTAAAGCAAAAGCCCGCCCTCTAGCGCTTAAAAACAGCTAACATCCGATAGGTGGCGCTGGTAGGTAATTAAAATTAGTAAGGCACAGGTCAAGTGTCAACTATACCATGGGGCACAGAGGTCACAGGCCAAGTGTCAAGTATAGTGGATGTGCCCTGGTCACAGGTCAAGTGTCAACTCCGTTAAGTGTTAACTTTAGGGGATTTACGCAGGTCGCAGGTCAAATGTCAAGTCTAGTAGGTGTGCCCAGGTTAAATGTCTAGTCTAGTGGGGTGCCCAGGTCACAGGTCAAATGTCTAGTCTAGTGGGGTGCCCAGGTCACAGGTCAAATGTCTAGTCTAGTGGGGTGCCCAGGTCACAGGTCAAATGTCTAGTCTAGTGGGGTGCCCAGGTCACGGGTCAAATGTCTAGTCTAGTGGGGTGCCCAGGTCACGGGTCAAATGTCTAGTCTAGTGTGTGTGCCCAGGGCCCCATTTTTCATGGTCACGCTTTTTACTCTGCACTTTTCACTCTGCATTTTCGGAAAAGTGCAAAGTGAACAGGCAGAGCGTTTTTTATGCATCGTGAACTCTGCACTTTTCACTCTGCAGAAAAAGGTCAAATGCAAAGAGATTTTGCCGAGTAACATTTTCTCCCCTCTCAAAATTATCGTTCCGTGCAGAATTATCACTGCGATTTATAAAATTATTTAACTAACTAATTTGCATAATTTCTGTCCTTCTTCCGAATCTCTCTAATTACTAATTAATGTCAATTATAAAATCGTTAACAAAAGTCCTTGGATTAGTTTATCTTAATTATTATTAATAAATTCATTACAAAAATTGATTCTATCAATTTGTTTATAGGTTAGAAAGGCGTTGGTAGAAATTTTAAACAGTATAATTTTCATGATTATGGTCCGTGCGTGGAACTACGACAAATTGCAAAACTCTTAGCACGCAGATTCTTCTTTAAATATATCTACGAACGGCTTCCTAGCCTATTTAAAATTAAGAACCAACTTTTGTAATGAATGTATTAATATCAATTAAGATAGAATTAATATGGTATACAAATAAAACAATTATTTTGAAAAATGTATCACGATAAGCGAGAGTTTTGAGAAAAATTCAACTGCAAAATGCACCGATTTTACTCCCCGCTTTGTCTTTTTCGGATGCAAATATTGCAATTTTCATACTAGTTAAATTTCTGATCCATTGACACTACTTTGGTCGAAATCTGTGAGAATATGTGCGTTGGGAGACCTCCATTGTTGCTCAATCTAATAATGATGAGGTGTGGAGGTGATTATCGCCGATTTTTACCGGACTAATTTTAAATTGTTCACGCTTATAAATAAGCGGATCCATATTTTTTGGGGGTTTCCAAAATGCAAATGGTTTCGCCAGTTACTGAATTTTAAAAAATCAGAATTTTTCAAGACGCTGTCACTATTCGAATTTTAACCCGATTTCAAAAATCAAACATAATTTTTGGTAAGAAGCATTATAAAAATAGTGAATTATGCAAATAGTGAGGAGTTAAAGTCAAAGTATTATTCCTAATTATATTTCACGAAAGGGAGCGAAATTAACGGAGCCGGAGTAAAAGTTTTGAAAAGTGAGGAGTGAAGTGCCTCTTGACCTTTTGCACTTTTTTGTGCAAAGTGTAGAGATTATTTTGCAGAGCGACACGTTGAAAAACGGGTCCCTTCTCTGCACTTTTCAAAACCTCTGCGGTTTCGACTTTTCACTTTTCACTTTGCAAATCGCGGTCGCTGAAAAACCCTCTGCTTTGCAAAAATGGTGAAAAGTTGAAAAGTGCAGAGTGAAAAGTACCATGAAAAATGGGGCCCAGGTCACAGGTCAAATGTCAACTCTAGGGGGTGAGCGCATTCATCCGATCAAGCCTCGGCAGATCTAAAGGGTGTGTTTCGTTGTTCTCGAGTTCGACAACGTTTTGGAAACGTTTTGACACTTTAGCGAAAAACGCCCTCTAGAAACGAAGAATGTAACATGGTACTCAAACTGCCGCTAGGTGACATTAGCTTCGACAATGTGAGACACGTGTGTAATCAAGCGCAAAGTTCAACTGGTAACACACAGACACACACCACTGCACAATTCTTGGTTCTGATGGGGACATCGAATAACCGTGGGGACATTGTCCTTCTGTCCCCACACACGCTTCCGCGGCAACTGCATATGTACATATTCGTAGTGTGATGTGAGCATTGACCGCGGAAGCCGTGGGGACATTGCAATTTTAGGGGTGTATATAACATGAGGAGATTATGTGGATGTAGATATCGTTGGGACATTGTCCCCCTGTCCCCACACACCCTTCCGCCGCCACTGCATCCTAGTGTGAGTACGATTACACAAGCGTGGTTTGGCTACACGCTAAAAGAGCTTTAGCATTTCAAACTCACCTGCAAAATGTTCGGTTTCTTCCATCCATCCAGTGAACAACTCAGGGATAAGAATAATAATCGCACGTCATGCAAACATACATAAAAATCAAGCCTTACCTACTACACATTTAGTGGCTGGCAGGTAAGTCTGGCTGGCTGGTTAAACTCACCTGCTCGATCATCTCGTCTCAATTCCAGACTCGTTTATTACAAACCATGTAAAATCATACTATGCATGCATGTAATGCAAGAGCCACCAGCGATTTAAGCCAGCCACGCCAGCCAAGTAAAATGTGCTAGCCTGGCGTTTATACGTACGTACGTGAAGTAGCAGAATAAAACAGCATCATCATCATTATCAAGTTATTTCACTACCATGCACCAAGTCAAAATAGGTTTTTGCCCATGTCTACTGGACCTTGTTTTGCAAAACCAACTCAAACTAGCTTCACTTTCCGTCCGTCTGACCTACCTACCTGCTGGGTTGCTTGGTTTGGTTTATTACGTGGATGATGGAGGACAATAATAAGAATAGGTTAGAGAGAGAGACTGACTGACGAGAACTAAGCTAAGCTTCCATCTCGTATTATCTAAGTACATGGGCAAAATTTGCCATGCGAAACGCCACTCAAGCTCGTATGTGCAGGTACATATACTCATCTTTACCATCATCACGGATGGAATGGAAGTCGGCATAAAAAAGTTAGAAAACATCGCACCGAATTTGCACATATTGTGTATTCGCACATCGTACATGCATATGTATGCTGATGAGAAGGGGAGGGTGGTGTACTAAGAAATGACAAAAAATCTCAACCATAATACCACCCTTTCAACAAAGAGAAGGAATAGCATCTTCCCGCAGGAGAGAAATAATAGTAAGAAAGATGCGAATATGTAAGGTTTAAAATTTGAATAAGGGATGTGCGAATTCAACCACGACTCAAACCCCCAGGAGTTTAATCAGATCGTCAATAGTACATTGTTGGTACATAGCGTTGTGCTGTGCGTAACCTAAATTTACGCATTTATATTTATCTATGTGCGTGTAAAATAAGTGCGTAACAGTACCTTGGGAGGAGGTGGTGATTAGTAATTCTAACGCACTTTCCGTCCGCCGTCAAGTTAACGGAATATTAATCTATGCACGTATTTACACAATTTTTAGCTTCAAGTAGTAAAAGCATTAAGCTGTTTAGGTTGGGTTGCATTGCATTTCAATAATATTCCAGTGTGGTCGTGGTATCGTAAATAGCACAACCTTAAATACAGAGGTTATTTATAATTTCGAGAATAATAAGGTGTCTGTGGTTATAAAGTGGTGATTAAATTAGCAATCCAGTATAAACTGCTAAAATATTGCATATTCTAAATTTATTAGATATATAAAATCCATTTGCCGAATTGTATCTGGTCGACTCGACACTTTATCTCATTTCGCATTTTATTTCTGTTGTAAAGTTTTGGTGAAAGTGAATTGGGTGGACTGGACAAAAGTAAGTAGTGGACAGTCCTTACATATTTACGAGGAGTTGAAGCACAAAAATCCACTCTATGTAATCTTCCATCCAGAATTTTATTCTCTTTTCTCCCTTTATTTAAACCGTACAATCCTGCCATGTGTACGCTTTCATGAGCCATTTATGCCAATTTCCTATACACAGACACACACACACCTTAATTCATTTCCGCTGCCTCCTTAATACACATCTACCCAGTGTCCCAGCGAATTAGAGAGAAAAAGAAAAACCGAAAACCAATATCCTCCTGGTACTCTACCGGATTGGATTGTTTTAGCTAATCGAACCACGACTCTGGTAAAACAGAGCGTAATTGTGATACCATCAGTGGCCGCGGAAGCCGTGGGGAACAGAGGGACAATATATCCCCACTCGATGTCCGCATCATCTGCCCATCTTATATAAACCCGTCCCTCTCCTATCCTACAATGGCAATGTCCCCAGATGTCCCCACGGCTTCCGCGGCCACTGATTATAATACGATCCATGGATAGCATTAAACATTACCAATTGTGTGTGTTTTATACTGTTCGTTAATACATACATACGTACATAAATACATTGAGACTTTCCAGCGATACCAGTACCAGCCCCACAAGTGGTCTGATTATCTCGCTATACGTACGATTGTCGAGACCAGTCTCGCGTTACTCGGTGGGTTTTACTTCAGTTGAACTGTGGACTTCTGGAGAAGACGGTGTCCTCTTCTTCCACTTCCAGGCTAAATAGTTCTTCTGGTCTATCTATTCTTCTCAATAATCATTTACTACTAAATATCTGTTTAGTTGAAACTCCTTCTAGTCAGCCAACAAGGTTTTTTCTCCGGTGTTTAGCAGTTATCTTGAATTAATTAGTTACCTACTTAAAGAAAATAAGACAAGTGTTCAGGATGGCTGGTGGCAAGGCAAAGATCTCTTCGAAGAGCAAGTCTCATCCCACGAAGGGCAAGGGATTTGGAAACTTCATTTACGATTCGGAAGAAGGAACATGCTTCGGAAGGACGGCGGCTTCATGGAGTAAGTGCTCGAAACCGACTTTTTTTTACTTGGTTGCATAAAACAGCAAATTGTATTTAATACAATTTACTAATACACGAGTTAGTCGGAGTTCGCAAACTACCTAATTTTTCGAATTAGACGGATATGTAGTCGCGCATTTATTGGAAAATTGACAAAAATTGGGTGAGTGGAGGATGCATGAGGGAGGTTTGTGTCATGAAATAAGGTTGGATTTAGATACCCTCATTATTAGAAATCCCATATATTATGTGCAGTGGCCGCGGAAGCCGTGGGGACATGGGGGGATATTAACAGTGTAGGATGGGAGGGAGGGGTTTATGTAACATTATGGAGAGATGATGGGACATTGTCCCTCTGTCCCCACCTTTCCGCGACCACTGATTATATGCCGGCTTTATTATCCACCATTCCTACCCAGTCACAAGTTATTGGATTATTTAGCAGAAGGATATGCACGATGGGATGTTTGTGGGTTCCATTTAATGTAAAAGATAATGCCTTATCATCTCGACTGATGGGTACACAATTCCATAATATATTCATAACTGAGAACATGAGCATTGTGATGATTAACCTGAAATGAAATGAGACTGTATTGTGCTGCTCTGCTCACTCATGCAGCTCATATTTTGAGATTTCCATTTTCCATGCTACTTAAAACAACGGGAAGGAACGAATTTAATAATGTGCATGTTGACGAGTTTAGAATTGCTCTGGCTGTACATTAAGAGATTCTGATTCTGATAAGTGTGTAACTGTTTCCAAGAATTTGAACGATATGTTTCTTGCACAAAAAACACACTTAAAATAATGTGGAAATTCAGCCCTGATTCTAAAATATGACGACCTCGATATACAGAAAATAAGTAACATGAATGAATTTAAATCGTAACCAGATCTCTTGCTGAATTTCGGTCAGTTGAATAAATATTTTTCGAGAGACTCGAATCATACATAGTCAGACCTTACAAAATGGTAAAATTTCTTTTAACCGAGAGGGGACCTTCATAAATTATGTGATGCAAAAAAATCGCGATTTTCTATATAGACCCCCTTCCCCCTTTAACATGTGTCACTTCATTGGAGCCTAGACCCTGCCCCTTACATAATTTATGAACCTCCCCCAACCAAACCACAATCGGCACACATAAGAAATTTACGCTGGAAATTAACACCTCTCTCAAGTTGAGAGTTATTCTGTTGTTGTCACACATAAAATAAAATCTAAACTTGTTGATTCTGCAATTTCTCTTTTTTTGCTTGGACCAACTTGAACCTTTGTCATTGACTCTTTCAAACAAAATCCATTAAGTGAAATATGAATCAATTATCCATATTTTTTTATTATGCAGTAAAATGTATTTGAAAGAGACGGAGGCTCCGTCATTGATGTGATGTTAGTCCGTTCTTTCTACTACGTTGTATGCATTTCGTTCCGTTCAGCTCATATTGCTCATTATTAGCATTGTTTTTTTTTGCATGAAGTCATAAAAATTTATGTCCTAAGTAAAGCCGTATAATAATTCGTCCCTTGTGTAAGAAAGAAAGAAAAATATGACTGTTTTACTGCATTTATCTAGTTTTCATATACAGTATGACAGCTGCAGAATAGATAGACCAAGATTATTCAGAAATATTCCATTTCTATTCTAATAATTTAAAACGCTAAAAAATATTTTGAGATTGTTTTTTTTTATTTTCGAGTCAGTCGTATAAGAAGTGAATTGAATATTGTTTTTGCAAAAGACGACGACGTCTGCTGAAAACGGTGTAAGCAGACGAGGAATGTCCATGCCCATGAAGCAACGTGTGGTTAAATATTTATGAGAGTAATGAAGCATTACCAAACATGCGAGTTGTTGAAAATTTAATTAAATTACTAACAGCATTTTAGCAGAGTCAAAAGTAATGAAAGTTAGTGTTCATACGGCAATGCAGCATATTAATTTTCGCCACTTTAAAGTGGCGAAAATCAAATCATGAACGTACAAAATTAACTTAAGCGCACACATAAAAAATATTCATTTATAAAATTTAAACCATCATTAAATAAAATTTCTCTCCACATGTGCTATCAAAAATTGCGGAAAATCCCGGCGTTGACAGATTTGCATAGTGCTTCTGTTCAGTTTTGCATTTATGAATGTACGAAAGTAAATTGCGTAACTTTAATCATTCAACAAGTCCAAAATCCTTCACACTAATTCACACTTGGCGAAGGTAATCAATGATAAGTGCTAATTTAACGGTTTTTATGTGTGCATTGTGCCGGCAAGGTAATTGTGATCTTTAAACGGAGACAGAATGCATAATTATGACGAACATGAGTGGTAGATATGCACAGGAGCCGCGGAACCTGTGGGGGCATTGTCAAGGGAGGGAGGGGTTTATATAAGATGGGGACATTGAATAACCATGGGGATATATTGTCCCTCTGTCCCCACACACGCTTCCGCAGCCACTGGTACACATGCACGCTCTGGAGGGGTGCATAAAATCTCCCTCTCACCGAACAAACACTAGCTCGGCGTTAATTTTCATTATCATTTATTGACCCGATGGCACACTGCATAAAGATAATTAAAAACAGAATGGGATCAGATTTAATTCAAGGTTAAAATTTTAACCTGATTGTGCAATGGCATGCATATAAAATGTCCGCTATTCTATTCTATCCATTAAAAATTGAATTGATGATGCTGATGCAGGGCCATTTTTTACCGGTATTTACTTATTATGACAGCGCTGCAGCACCTATTTTTGTACTAATGATTGCCTTGTTTTATGCCAATTTCAGTCAAAATCATCATCTTTTACATCATTTTTTATTCCTGTTTGGCCGGATTTTTCTGCCTCAACTATTACATCTTCTCCAAAACGCTGAATGAGGACTCGCCAAAGTGGAAACTGGACCAGAGCATTATCGGAACAAATCCTGGAGGTACTATATATTTATGCAAAATTAGTGGCCGCGGAAGCCGTGGGGACATTTGGGTAACATTGTAGCATGGGGGTAGGGAGGGGTTTATATAAGATGGGGACATTGTCCCTCTGCGCTTCCGCGGCCACTGTTTTATCGGCCAAAATCTGACCATTTTCTTAAACCCATTCCAGTCGGTTTCCGACCCATGCCTGACCAAGATGCAAATGCGGAATCCACCCTGATCTGGTATCAAGAAGGAGTGGAAAGCGATGCTAAATTTTGGTGGAACCAGTTGAGCGTAATGTTGAAGCGTAAGTATCATAAAAATGTCAATGGCGTGACCATCATAATTTTGATGAATATGTAATTTATTCAACATTTTCTAGACAACATTCTACCCGAGGGGACCCCAGGAACGAAAATATGTAACGACCAGGGCGAAACCGCGACCGATTCGGCAGCTTGTCTTGTCCAATATAGCGATAGGAGTTACTGCACAGAAACTAATAAGTATGGTTATCAGCCCAGCGGAAAGCCATGGTTAGTTATGTTGAAGTCGTATTTATTTAGTAAAGTGTTTTTCGGGTGGGAGTAACCAAGTGCAAGAAATAACGGGGAGAAAGTGGTTTCTTGCAGGTAAATATTTTGACCTGCACGAAATGCAATGGGCGAGAAACGACGCCCCGTCGCGATAAATACTTCATACGGCGCATGGCTAGATGGCCCAGATTTCTTGCACTTTCTCCCAGTTTCTTGCACCTCGCATTTCTTGCACTTTCCCCCAGTTTCTTGTATTTTCTCCCAATTTCTTGCACTTTCTCCCAGTTTTTTTGCACTTTCACCCCAGTTTCTTACACTTTCTCCCAGTTTGCACTTTCTCCCAGTTTCTGGCACTTCGTATTTCTTGCATTTCTTACTTACCCATGCAAAAAATGCAGTAAACTTACAAGAAACGAAACAATAATGCCTTAGTCCGTGAAGGCGTGAACATTTTACATTGTCCTTTCTTTCTTGGTCCAGTGTTCTCATCAAACTGAACAAGATTTTCGGATGGACGCCACAACCATTTGGGGTCAACAATGATGATAAATTTGACCCCGTCCTGTTGCAGAATGACCTTGAGGATAAAGTGAAAAACGACGAGATGCCGGGAACGTTGCGAGACCATATTTGGAAGGAAGTTAACAAGAGTTCAAATGTAAAAACAAATTATTATAGCGTCCTTTCATGAAAACAATGCGTGATTTTTCTAATTTTGCATGTGCTAATTAATCAATAGGCTGTCAATACTTTGAAAACGGTTTGGCTTTCATGCTCCGGAGAAAGCGTGGGCGACAAGGAAAATCTTCCAGAGGGACATATCACCTACGAACCCGAGAGAAAAATCCCTGGCTACTATTTTCCCTACAAGAATCAGAAAAATTATAGGAGCCCCTTCGTCATGGTCAACTTCGACATTCCCAAAACTTCCCGTAACTAATTTGTCTTTAATTGAGTTAAAATTAAATTAATTAACTTTGATCAGCTATAATTTTTTTTACATAATTACAGGTCATCTTCTTATCAACATTGAATGCAGGGCTTGGGCAAAGAACATCAAGTACGACAGAGTCTTCCGTCTCGGCTCTGTCCATTTTGAACTCATGGTTGATTAAGATTTGCTAAATTGTTTGTTAGGTAGTGCAATAATAAATTTAAATGTAGGTCAATCAAACAAGGTACAGTTTTTTTTCCGTATTTCAAATTCCCCATTAAATAAAATTCATTAAATAATTAATTAATTATGTATGAATATAATCCGAGTGGTGGTCTGGTGTACGCATGGATGTAATAAAGCATTATAGTTGTTGTCTTGTTGGATAATTGTGTTTAAAAATTAAAACCTTCACGTCAATGTCTTATTTATCTAAAATTCATGTCTTTTGTCCACTTTATTCTACTTTTACGACCACTTTATCATCTTATAGATCGATGTCACATATTATTGCATAGTATCATATTATACTATTTTAGATATCTTGTCTACTATATTTTGCAGGATCTCTCTGTCAAATACTTTACTCTTGTGGGGGGCTTCCTCTTTACACATGTATTGTTCGACATATAACAGCCTAATTTTCACTTAGAAGAAGTTTAAGCTTGGAAGATTAACAGTAAATGAAAGTTAAAATATTTTTTTTTGCAATTACATACATGTGGATGTGTCCTTTAAAATAATACTAGTCTATTAAACCAAAAATACTACATAATTAATTATAGTACTCATTAAAACTAAAAGAAACGAGAAAAATTCATTAACGTTTCACACCTCTCATAATTAACATATTTTGACTCAACTTGCATTATTATTAAACGGTATAATTTGAACAGTGTAGTAATAGTAATCGATTTTTTCTTATCCCTAAATATTTATCAGTTAATTATTAAGAATGATAGTGGAATTGATTTACAAGGCGAGAAAATGCAATTTGTCTTCACATTATTATTCGAGTACGTATCGGTCTCTCGTAGATAATATTAGTCTCTGTAGTTAAAAACTAACCTTGTATCACTTGTGTTATAATAATATTTACGTGTATAAAACTAATTAATTAATTATTCATTCATTCACTCATTCATTCTGATGTTGTAATGATAACCGTGGAATCATCTTCCGTCGGTCCTAAGTGTTGTTTTAACATCATATTTTCTTTCCGAAGTTCGCTTACTTCTCGTCTTAAGGCGTCTAGTTCCTCGGCCGTGTTTTGATGTTCTTTCAGCGAGGCGGCTAGTCTACAATTAGTACTTTTCAATTCTCCAATATATTCGCAGGTTTTGGCCAAAATTCCGCCTTTACTCTGTAAAAAAATTTACACAGTTTTTTAAAAATCTTGCAAAAAAAAACGGGTAAACTTGATTGGTATTAAATAATACCTGATTTTTGCTCACAGCTTCATCCGCACAGGAAGGAACAATTTTAGCCAATTTTCCAATCCATCCATTAATTTTGTCCCTCCGTCGTCTCTCGACTTCGTTATGGGTCGCCCTTTTCTTATCGTCCCTCGCATTGGCTTTCACCACGCGTCCAAAATTTCTTGGATCAATTACTTGAGATCGTGGGACGCCCGAGCTGACAACGTAATATTGTCCGCCACCACCACTCCCATTGTTTAAAAGTTGAAGGCCCGAGGATTGGTGGTAGTTATCATTTGCGACGACTTGATAGGTTACATTACCTGTTGGAATTATAATTAACAATTAATGTTGCAGTCAGATAACTAAAAACATTATCTTCTTACCGTTTGAACTATGCCCGAATCTTATCGCCGAGTTGGGACCAGCATCACTCACCACGGAGGAAACTTGCGCCCCCTCGACGACCGAGGTGCTCCCATCCTCCTCCACGATTGTGACCGTTGTAGCAATTTCCATCGGGTCGATTTCAATCTCTTCGTGGGAGTCGTCATCATCGCTCGTGTCAATCATCACCTTCACGGGAACTTCTTGACTACATAATAATACGATAAGTCGTGCATATTAGAATTAGAATTTACACTTTTTGACCAAATCATCATCCTCCTCTGTCGAACTTTGGAAAAAAAAGTTCTTTTTGTTGAAAGACGAAAAGAACAACGTCCCCCGGAACTAAATGGATTCAAGTAACTCATTTCTTCAATAAAATAATACCGGCTCACTAGAAATTCTATTGAATTATTTCTTGCTAAAAGAAATACTAGAAAATATTGAAATATTCAAAAATCTAGAGTAAGAAGTGAGAAATATTTACTGCACGTGATGATGAGCGATGTCCATGAATAGGAATTTGTATTTGTTGTGGTTGGTGGCCGACGAAGGGCTCGAATCCTGGTATAAAATTCAAATGCAGGTCACACGGTATGTCACACGGTCACACCACCAAGAATGGCTGCACCTCAAACCCTGAAAACCTGCATCCAATCCTGCCCCACTGGCCAAGAATTTCTGTGGTGGGGGCTGTGCAGAAAGGATGTGAGGGAATTTAGGAGGGGCAAAGTTCGAGGAAATTTGGTGTTTTGGGTTGTGGTAATTTTAGCCCGGGGGTATTGGGTCAGTGGGGGGTGAAAGGTCAAAATTGTGTAAATTGTTGGTGTACGGCCCCAGGAGTGGAAAGAAATGCAGGTTTTCCTGTTTGCTTGAGAGGAGCGGGAGTTACAGTGAAAAACAAAGTTTTGTAAAAATTTTACTCGGAAACAAACAGGTAAGAATTTTGAATTTGGGATTTTATCAAATTTCTATTTGTTTTTGGGCATTTTATTTAGTTTTTTGGAAAAGGTAAATAATAAGGAAGTTACTCCAGTGTTGAGAAAACTTTGGGAGTAATAAATCTTGTAATTCAGAGTGTGAATGATCCTTTTTGGAATGCAAAGTTATAAAGTTATACTAATAACAAGAATTTAGGATTTGGGATTTTATCAAATTTCAATTGGTTTTTGCGTGTTTCGTTAATTTTTTGGAAAAGGTAATTAATAAGATAGTGTAGGGAAAGCTTATTTTGTATTTAGAAAATTAAATATTTTGATTTAACTTTAAACTTGTTAAAAATGGTGTAAAATTAGTGGAATATCTAATATTTTTTGTTATTTTATTACAGAAATAACGCAAGTATAAGATCCTTACCTGGAACCTTGAAACTTTCACCGGAATCAGAACACACAGAACACAAAATGTTCTTTCGTACTCCTCGTTTTATCCGGCGTTACATAAGGAACAGAATGAATCCTATGCAAGAACATAAAGCGTACGATATGAAGCAGAGATTATCAATTTTATACATGATTATTGCCTGGAATGCGGGAGGCTATTGTCTTTATCAAATATTCAGCGGAAATAAAAGTTGGCCCAAAACAGTCGGCATTAGAACGGACGAAGAGGACATGGTTCGACCTGGTATGCAAAAATTAAATATGCAAAATATGACAATTCTTGCATTTATGCACAATTATTAATTAATCCATAATATTGATACATTCACAGCTATCGCATGGGCGAATTCGTTAGGAATACCAAAAGCCAGCGTTATTAGGGTTTCCTCTCGTGGAACAATTTCTGAAAAGGAAACTTTCGAAGTAGATATTGAACCAAGTGGTGTAATACCTGGCAAGATACCCCAGTTCAAGTAAAGTAGCAGATTTATAATAAATAGCGGAAATGTTATCTAGTCTTATCATACAATATAAATGCGTGGAGCGATGTGAACCAATTATATATGACAATGAAGAAATACAACGTTCTTTTTTCATTAAAACAAGTTTATTCTGTGAATAATTATTCAAATTGCATACTTAATGCGAGGCTTGCAACATTACCAGTGTAAGGAATTTAAACATGTTTTTTTTAGTTTGAGACGCTATAATACCCAATAAATTAGTATCTGCTGCAATAACATTCTGAACTTAGAAGTAAAATTAATTAGAATTAGACAGAATTATTAAGGTAAAGTAAAGTATAAATGACTCGGGAGATTTTTTTTTACAAACTATAGAAGAATGAATGCAATGTTTTCAATACTGTTTCATCATTTGATAATGCTCATATTTTAAAAGGACAGCTCAGCAATAATTATAAATAGAAGAATTCGAAAAGATTCTAACAATAATAAGTACAAGTTGAAAACCTGAAATATACACAAGATTACGGTTCGTATTTTATAATTAGACCCATTTCTGCATAAAAAGGGTCCAATTTTAATGCACAAACCATAACAAATTTATTTGAAATTCTCGACTATTTATAAAGCAACTCGTGCTTTTTATTTTAAATACACAAAAAGAAAAGTGTGTATTTATCGTTTTATAATAAATTTTTTATTTAAATTTGATAACAATTAACTCTCCCATAAAATAATAACTGTCAGTTGTAGTATTAATAATTAAATTACATGGTGTTTTTTATATTATTTTACAGAACAATTTACATTTTACAACAACCTTTACATCCATTTACAATCAATCGAGTCAACTACTTTCCCCATAATAAACAGCCACCTTATCGTACAGTTCTTATCAAAATACAATTACTTTTACTTTCTTTTTGTACATACAAAATGGTTACATACTTTTTTAATTTTTTACTATGCACGTACTTTCTCTAACATTTCCTTTTCATCATCATTTAATATCTTTAACAACTTTCTGAGACTTCATCTTTTAAAAAAATGTGGTGTATGGCATTGTCAACAATGCATAATAATTATAATATTTATAATAATAATTGAGTAATATTAGTGGATTGGATTCTAAATATTTTATTGAGAAGCATTCAGTGCTTGCTTGCCTCGGTGGGTATGATTAGTGACTATTAATACTTATACATAAGACCTAGATAACCATTAATTTCAGATAAGTTATTATATATTAATGACTTCATCTTGATAATTAATACCTTATTATGTATATTAGCAGCCTTTCCATTTCGTGAATTTCTCCAGTTTCCTATATCGTTTCCCAACTTCCGGTGTTTTAATTCCTCTGTTGCATTTTGCATGTATTTTTTTGCATAGAGATTTCTCCTACTTTCTCCACCTTTTCCCATTGAAATATTATTTATATATTTAGATTGTGCTATTGATTTTAATGCTTGATTTTTCAGTTTAAAATTCTAACCCAACAAAAAATGACTTATCTGTAATTAACTTATGCAATTAACTTAATAGGAACATTTCATACTTTTCCCTTCTTTCTCGCATTCTTCCAAAACATTTTACAACTTGTTTTTTTCTGTTAAAGAGATCGACCTCAAACCCACACATTTTTTTGGCATTGCATAAAATCAGTGGCCGCGGAAGGGTGTGGACAGAGGGACAATGTCCCCACGGTTGTTTGATGTCCGCATCATCTCCCCATCTTATATAAACCCCTCCCTCCCTTATCCTACAATGTTAATGTCCCCACAACTTTCGCGGTCACTGGCTGTCAGTCTCGAAAAGCTTCAGGAAATCTTATCCCTTAAGCTTATCCCACAATGTTAATATCCCCCGATGTCCCCCACACCTTCCGCGGCCACTGCATAAAACAAACTGCATACGCGTGCCCTGTCATTTCTCTGCACCTGAGCAAACCATGAAAACTGTCGTTCCTCCTTCCTTCCTTTTTTGTCCGTGTTTATTTCATTTTAAAATAAAAATTACTTATAATAGCTCGTATAAAATTTTATAATGCTAAATACTTACGATTTAACAAGCAATAACTGTATGTTTTTAATGGTTATAAGATTAATGCAATGTATTATCTGGCAGTTAGGCTTACAGAAGAAGAAGAAAAGGCTTTCTTTCTCACAATTTTTTTGCATGAGAATTATTAATTGTTTTTTATAAGCAGATTGTGATTAATAAGTAATTAACCAATATTTTGTGTGTTAGTTAGGAGAGTAGTGATTATATATTCTTATCGGACCGATAATACAAGTCAAGAGCTTGATAAGGTACTCATTCATATCATTGTTGAATTAATTATTAACAAGAAGATTCCCCAACTGCTGAGATCATTGAATTGATTGGTAAATATGTCAAATCAAGCTCACAAAACAAATTATACGTCACTTTCTTTTTTTTTCACGGGGTAGACTTTATAATAAATATCAAATTTATGATTAGATGACCAAACTATTTAATTAAGTAATTAATTAGTTTTTTAACTGTATGGCTCAATTTGAAAAGAGGTTAAAAGTTGTAAATCCAACTGAATAACTGGTCAAAATTGAAGCTTGGTGGCGAATTTCGACCATATTTCCTTCGGAAAAGGTCAAAAAGGTCAAGTCCAGTTTTTTTGACGGCGGGATTAGGTAATTGCAGGTGGACGTTTTCAGACATTTGCATACCGGGCGATAAGTATCCGTCGAGAAGCTTATCTTCATCAGTCCCACAGGTTTAAAAGCCTTCTCGTGGATTCGTAATCACTCCCTGAACCTGCAGAAAAAAAATTATCATGCATTAAATATTTTTGTCTTACGAGGCGTTGTGCGAATTAAATTTGCATAGATATATAAGAATTAGTGAAAGGCGAAACGTTACTTAAATAGAGGAAAAAATATGTAGACGAGACAATACCAAAGGACATTAATTTATTGCAATCACGCCGTAAAATTGCAATATTGTGTATGAAATGACTCATTGTGTGTTGGGTGTGCTAAAATGATAACGATTTGTGATATATATGATAACCATTAACCATTTGGATCATCAAAGTCTTACGGTTATGGAATGATTATAACGGTTTAAAGTGATCTCGTTGCATCCAATGGCGTCCTAAATTGCACTATTTTCGTAGACATCTAAATGTCTGGTCAATGCAATCATTAAAGAAATCGTTATATATGCAGGTGCAGTTTTCATATTCCTGTACTCAGTGGCCGCGGAAGCGGTAGGGACATTAACATTGTAGGATGGAAGGAGGGAGGGGTTTATACTTATAACAGGGGTAGATGCTAGGGATATCGAAAAACCGCGGGGACATTGTCTACACCTTTCCGCGGCCACTGAATGATTATAACGGTTTAAATTGATCTCGGTGCATCTAATGGCGTCCCAAATTGTAAGTTATTTAAGCACTATTTTCCTAGACATTGAAATGTCTGGTCAATGCAACCATTAAAGAAATCGTTCGTGCACTTATAAATTTGCAGGTGCAGTTTTAGTTACATGCATTTATTCCTGTACTAAATATTTGCATAATTGGTTTGCACATATGTGCAGTTAACGTCTATTAGTTTTTGCATCTTTTTGATCCCGTAGTAAAACTGGATCAACAAATTCTACCACGTCGTCGTAAATAATATTTGCGGTATGGTTTTTGCCTTGCAACATTAATTTTTACATTTCTGAACACTTTTCTAAAATTCTAAGTAGTCATAATAAAACACCAGAAGATTTTAATGGTCAAATGGTTCGTTAACTTTAATATGAATTGATTTGGTAAAATGACACATCTCTCTTTCGCTGCACTCAAAGCTTTATCTCATTTGGCGTAATAAAGTGTTTCACAGTGGCCGCGGAAGCCGTGGAGACGTTAACATTGTAGGATAGGGGAAGGTGTGGTTTGTATAAAATGGGCAGATGGTGGGGACATTGAATACCCGTGGGGACAGTGTCCCTCTGTCCTGTCCCCACACACTTCCGCGGCCACTTACTCCGTTTGGCCTGACACCAACCGAATGCAGATACATATATTAGAAAGATAATATTAGCACGATGCAATGTCATACAGCACAAATTTGCACATGGTGACATTTAAGAGAAACTGCATTTTTATTCCTGGGACGAAATCACCATCTGCATCTTTTCAAGCCAGAACTGCCTGCAACTAACTCTTCTCTTCGCATGTCAACGGGTTCGAAATTGGTTCTGAGAAGTGTTTTTCTCCTCTTCTTGTAATAATTAATTGATTATTATCTTTAAAATGACTCCACTAGAATGCATGCCCCCAACTTTTTCCGCTCCTCCTTCTCCCGTAATTTGCCAAATCTCGAAGAACAAGCTCCAATAATTTTTGTTTATTTCCTGTCACGATGCGTTTCAAGTGAAGTTTGCATACATACAACCATAACTCTCCTCTCTTGAACAATTTGAGTGAACATGAACCAACCAACGTGACGATTCTTTCAGGTAAACAAATTTCCATCTCGTATCTCGTTGTGTGCAATCATTATTCACAACAAGATGAAATCAAAAAGAGAAATTACATGGACTCGCGCAGATCTATGTAAAGTTCTGCATAGGCAGTAGCCGCGGAAGGGTGAGGGACAATGTACCCACGGTTGTTCGATGTCCACATCATCTCCCCATCTTATATAAACCCGTCCCTCCCCTATCCTACAATGCTAATGTCCCCACATGCCCCCACCGCTTCCGCTAGCACTGTGTAGGTACTTTACTGCTTGATTGCAAGACATGTACATATAGTAAAATTGTGCATAATTATTACTGCGTGATTGCAAATTGCTTATGTAAGTTATTAATGTGTGAGATTGATAGGATTTTTGTGTGGTGAAAGTTGTTGTTTTTGGTTGATGGACAATTTGGGAGGAATCTCCGAAAATCAGTTTGTTTGTAGGTATTTAAGGAAATGAGGGAGGGAGGGAGGGTGGTGGGTGGTCCTGGAGGAAAGGGGTTGTTGAACCGTTACCAGCGAAACATTATTACCTACAAGGATAGTCAGGATTGTTGGTTCCGAATAGGCAAAAGTAGGAGAGATACATACTTCCTTGCACGTCCTTGGTGTCGCACCGCTGACCCTGGTACCCCTCCGCGCACCTGAAACACAAAATGAGCCACATCCATTAAAACCGGGGTCACCATTGTCGGTAATCGGTATGATTTGCCAAAAAGTATGATAAGTAAATAAGATTAGCCACCCGTTCGTTAAGTTTACATATCTCTTCAGTGGCCGCGGAAGGTGTGGGGTCACCTGGGGACACTGCAATCGCAGAATATGGGAGCGAGGGGTTTAACACGGATAGGGACGTCAATAACGGTAGGAGCATTGTCCCTCTGCCCCCACCCTTCCGCGGCCACTTTATATATCCCTTAACAAATGAAATATATGCGCACAGTGGCCGCGGAAGCGTGCAGACAGAGCGACAATGTCCCACGTTTAAGTATTCGATACCCTGATCATCTCCTCATATTACACAAACCCCTCCCACAATGTCAATGTCCCCACATGCCCCCACAACTTCCGCGGCCACTGTCTCCGCACAAAAATAGGCTTCCCCTTCCTTCCTCATCCCTCTTCTCATGTCACAATTTATCTCGAAGAGCGATTATTATGAAAATTTGTAATAAACATAATTATAAACCAAACGAATGAAATGAAAATGTCAACTTTTCTTTCTCACAGGCATCTCATCATCACACAAGCAAAATCTCTCTTCTCCTGCGATATCTGCAATATCTCCGACTTTGCGAGGAGCAGAAAAACTGGATGCTTTCAGTTTTGGATTGGACGTAATCTCATTTTTTGGCACGACGAGGAGAAACAAATTGCCATGTAGCTTTTGAATCTCTCTCAGCCCGTGTTCATAAATCCACTCGAAAAACTTGGGGCTTGGACAGACGGAAGAAAAGGAAGCTCGAGGAAACTTTGTTTGCAGCAGAAGCAAACTTATTATTACACCACTTGATAAGATTAAGAGAGACAATCGCTTTAAAAAATAAAATTTAGCGGCGTGTATGTATGTATAAATATGTGTGTGTGTATGCAGTCGCCGCGGAAGGTGTGGGGACATCGGGGGCATTAACACTGGGGAGGGGTATAACCCGGGGAGATGATGGGGACATCAAATAACTGTGGGGACATTGTCCTTTTCTGTTCCGCGTCCATTGTATGTCTCTCTTAACAAATGGAATATCTCTTCAGTGGCCGCGGAAGGTGTGGGGACATCAACATTGTAGGATGGGGGGAGGGAGGGGTTTGTATAACATGGGGAAATAATGGGGACATCAAATATCCGTGGGGACATTGTCCCTCTGTCCTCACCCTTTCGCGGCCACTGTTGTACATACATAAACACGTATCGTATAACGTGGACAAGACCAGTGGCCGCAGAAGTGTGGGGACAGAGGGACAATGTCCCCACGATTATTCGATGTCCCCATCTTATATAAACCCCTCCTTATCATATATGATAAGGAGGGGTTTATACTCTGTTAACGCCCCCAGATGTCCCCACACCTTCCGCGGCCACTGCCTGCGCATACATACATACATGGAATGCAATTAAACGAAGGGTGTATTCCAACTGAAATGATGCAAGAATACGAAACGAGGATGATTCAGATTCGGAGCTGAGACGTAGAAATAAAAATTAAATTATGAGATAAATGAGTACGACATGATAAATCGTGTCCTCTCTTCTCTTCTTTTTGCTATTATTATTTCTTAAAATAAAAATATTCTTTGGTGATTTTTGCAAGAGAAATCTTTTTGCGAATTTTGTCATCATTTTCTCTCTCTTTTCCTGTTACATACACATTTCAGAAACTTGTTCAGTTTTCACCAATCCTGAAAATTTATTGGTATGTGTGTGCAGCTCTCCCTCCACTTTTGTGGTTAGCTCGCATCTTAAAAATTCACCTAATTAGCTTAACAAGACATAAATCTCGGGATAAATGATCTCGGTGAAATTCATGACTGTTCTCAACAACTTTATACAGCGAAGGAACGTCCCATCATTTAACTCTCGCTCTCTACACATTTCCTCCCAGCCAGCTTTATTACGAGTGTACTTATGTACAAATGGAGATGTGCATTCAGTCGTGGTCTTCGGGCAACTTTGTGCTCTTCGAAGATGGGGACGCAAACCATGTTCGGTCCGGATTATTTTGCGACCATGTTAGTTTAAAAGACCAACTCTTTAGAGGCAACATTTAGCGCGATACTTGGGCAGACGCGGGAAATTCAGTGTTATCGGTGTCAAAATTTCGAGAAAACGACTTCGTTTTTCGAACGGAACTTGTGCCTTCCGGCGACACCTTTAATCGCTCAAATTCCGTTCTAAAACTGAGCGTTTTCGCAAAACTTGCGGCGCCCATAACGCTCTGAATTTTGCGCAATTTCCGCACTAAATGTTGTCTCTAAAGTCTAGTACACAGGACGGATTTTTCGCGCGAAATGACAAGTTCTTTGCTTTGTATTAACTTACTCCTTCACTGGAAGTACTAAATTTCAGCACAAAGTATGCCAAATGGGAATGTTTCTTCAAATAAATTACAAACTGTTACTTAATAAGCTTCTTATTCTCGTTTTTGCTAAACCTAAACGTGAAAAATCCGTCCTGCGTACTAGGCTTAATTGGTCTTACAAACTAATTGTAAGCTGGTCACAAAATAATCTGGCCTGAACATGGTTTGCGTCCCAATTTTTAGATGTAAAACGACCCCGAGTTTGTGGCATGCAGGCTATATTTCTCGCAAAGTTCGACTGGATATCATCACATTTTAGGGACATAAGTAAGTACAACAGCGAAGGGAATACATTGACCCCTTCTTTTCCGGATTGGAATTGGATATCATCATATCTTCAATCTTTCCAAGTTTTTAACTTTGTCATACCGCTTATTGCGCGCTTCCTCCGTTCATACGTGACTTATACGTAGTACCACCAACCACTTTATTCGCGAAAAATTTATTTGCTTTTTGCAAATTTCTTACCAGAGTAAACTACATTTTTTCCTGTACTGTTTGCTACTGCATTAGTGATGTGATATGGTTAGTTCCGGACGTTTGACGACGACTCACAATGCAAGTCTTTTACGTGTACAACTCAGATCTGGTTGGGACAAATTTTATTTTGTTCACCACAAAAAATAAGCATACCCGTATTTTTTCATTTTTCATAATGCGCTAATTTGAGCGCGAGGCGCGAATTTTGAAACATTTTTCAGCCAAAATCTCGGTTTTTAAAAATTCCGTAAATTTTCGAATTTTAGCGCGAATCCAAAAATTCGAAAACATGTCTCTTCATATTGATTTACTTGACTTATAAAAAATCCAAATACATTATTTTTTGAAAAAGTAAAAAATTTGAAAGAGTTTATAATTTTAATGAAGTTCAAAAACTGGCAAAAAATTTTGAAATTCAAATTTCGAGACAATTGGATTTTTCATAAGTCAAGTAAATCATTCTGAAGAGACATGTTTTCGAATTTTTGGATTCGCGCTAAAATTCGAAAATTTGCGGAATTTTTAAAAACCGAGATTTTGGCTGAAAAATGTTTCAAAATTCGCGCCTCGCGCTCAAATTAGCGCATTATGAAAAATGAAAAAATACGGGTATGCTTATTTTTTGTGGTGAACAAAATAAAATTTGTCCCAACCAGATCTGAGTTGTACACGTAAAAGACTTGCATTGTCAGTCTTTCGTTGAGATGTACACAGAATTTTTATTCAGCCAGGGAAAAAATCGGGATGAGGCGGAAATGCACTTTTTGTGTTACAGTGTGCTTTCTCCGTCAAAGATTTTTTTTCTGCTGCTTGTCTCTCTTCACTTTCTTTATGGCTGGCTACGTGCATTACGTTACGCTCAAATATTTCTGATGAATCATTGCAGGCAACAAAACGAGTTTTCTCTTGTTAAATAACGATTTAGAGATACACAATCTCAACTTTCCCCTTTGGGATGATGCATAAATGTACACTTGACTCTTTCTCTCATCTCATGACTGACAAAGGAGGTCTCCCAGTGGATGCTCTCCGATTTTGAGCAAATTATTAATGTCAATCTTTAACAGATTTAATTAGCATGAATGGAATTTGCGAAAGACATGATCTCCTAATGGGCACTTTTGGCACAGATATTTGAATCCGAAGAGGAGAAAGCGCACAGTAAATTTGGAAAGTGTAAAATTTGTCGACGTTAAGGCGCGTTTTCTCCTCTTCGGATGCAAATATCTCTGCTAAACGTGCCCATTGGGAGATCGTGTCTTTCGCAAATTTCATACTAATGAAATTTCCCATCGATTTGCACTAGTTTGCCCAAAATCGGAGAGCATCCGCTGCGAGACCTCCCTTTTGTATGAATAAGAAGATTAAGTAGAAACTTGAGTAAGCCAAGCCATAAAATCCTATTTAATAACCATTAACCTGTTAGCTTTGGGGGAAAAGTAATTCCGAGAAGACGGATGATACCCGTTTTGCTATGTCTGCGTCTCACAAAACTATGTATCTGTAAAATTAAGTTCGATTTACATCACTAAATTTTACCCTTCAAAACTTCCACTTGATATAATGTGCTTTCTCCAAAATTATTATTACGAATCCGAAAATAGATCAGACGATCGGAAACGATTTGTATTCCTTACGGATTGATGTTTCCTTCCTGCTAAATTCGATTTTGATTCGATGCATTTATTTTACTTATTGGACAGACGAATCAGTGGCGGCGGAAGTTGGGGGGACATTAGCATTAGCCTTGTGAAATGGCTGGAGAAGATGCTTATTAACATTAGCAAGACAAGATTTTTCTGAATTTCTGGGGGCACACTAATTGTCCCCATGCTTCCGCCGCCACTGATTCTAACAAGATAAGTCTTGATATCAATCTTGGATCGGATTTCCATCTTACTTTTCCCGGAAAAACATGCAATAAAATTTACCCAAAACTACTTTTATGACCGATATTTATCACAATTAGGATCAAAGTTGCAAAATTTGTGCAGATTTACAGCCCTGTTTGTGGTCGGCTTCACATGGATGGACGGACACGAAAAGTTGAGTAATTTGCATGTGTTGCGTAAGGAATGAATCAACATGTT